ATACATTAAAACACAGCGGGACTATGTTTAAAACATTGTTTGCTCTCAATATCAAGTTGTTTAGCAGATTATTGTGTCACACATTACAGTTCTAAACGAGAGTATGTCTTGAATTAAATCAAATATTTATAATGATTCTGAGGGAGACGTTGTTATTCTCGTAAACCTGACACCGTCACACGAAAATCCCTGGAAAAGGCGCGTACGGTTCACGTACCTCCACTGGCACTCATTCCATTCATTTTCTTCTGCATCTCTTTCAAAGATGGCGTGAAATCCAACACACGTGTTACAAATGAACGGTCTTGAGGAGGATGGTCCCTGTATTCTACTAAGGCGAGACGGATATCGGACATCTCCTTGGCAACGATTTCGTCCACTATGCTCTGGATACTCTAGCAGTAGAAAGTAGAATGAAACCGTTAAAAAGACGGAAGACGGAAAATAAGGCACTTATATATCTACATCTCACCAATATAATGTATAAATGTACAGAATTAAGCGCTGAGATTGGTATTCCGGGCAGTACCTGTTTGGCTTCGGTAATCCAGCTGCTCATGCTGCCAGTGCAATCCATAACGAATGCTAAATCCAACACAGATGCATCGTGTTGTTTTAACAACGGTTGGGGAACAAAATCTGGAACCTTAATCTTACCGGCTGGCATTTTAAATTATAATGTTAATTAAAAGTAACGGTAATTGTTTTGCCGTATTAGGGTACTCAATTCTCTATGTAGTTCGTTCAATGGTTTATTGACTTCTGCTTCGTTATTGGCAAATCACTCGCCTTTTATACGCCCCGTCTTACCTTTAAACCTATTGTGCGCACCATGTCTTGTGACGACTTGTTCAGTGAATTGCTAAATATAACACACTGACGTCACTCATTGAGACATGTTTTGACATGATCCGCCTATAGAGGGCTGGCTAGTAGTGTGTTTTCAGCTGACTCCGCTACGTTCGAATTCAGTGAACATGTCAACATTTGTTGTCGTAAACATTCATTTGTATATTGACGACTTGAATGATAAGACTTTACTAGACTCGTCACATCCGACAATGTCCAACACACACTTACATAAGGTAAGGTTCATGCCAGGTTCGGTCACGTATGTGCAGTCGGTCCGGCGAACCATTTATTTAATGAAACATACTAATAAAGCCGACTAAAAACGGCTGCCATTACATTGCATGTAGTGTTCAAATTGAAATAAACTAAATGAGAGAAAAAATAACTTACATGAACTGCAAAAAAGATCGACTATTGATGCTCGAAATCAACATTACTCGGTTAAAGAAACATTTAAAATAACTGACAAAAAACGTCGACAAAATAGTAACCCCCGTTACTGGCACGCCGACCGCCCAGGAAAAACCAGGAATAAAAAACCCTTTGGGGGAAAAATACCTGGAAACCTGTACCCGTCGCACTGTCGATCGTGCCCAGGGGAAGGTGGCGGGTGTCGCCCTGTATTATACAACAAACTTACAAAACAACAAGTTGAAAACTGCACTGTAGCGAGACTGGCCTAGATTGACATTCAACCTTCTGTCCTCCACTTAAATACCCCTCGTCACATGACCCCACATACCATACCCGTCTGTTTGCCATCTCGCACAGACAATAGTTACCCGCTATACTGCGAAACGCGGTTAACAATATGTCTTTACTAGACTCGTCACATCCGACAATGTACAACACACACTTACATAAGGTAAGGTTCATGCCAGGTTCGGCCACGTAGATTAAAAAAAAAGAACGGGCCCGTACGTACGCCTACAAAGTTTGCGAAATTGACAAATGACAAGCCAGAGAGTCAACAGCGTCGCCATCTTGGCGGTATCTGATTGGCCCTGGCCGTAAACGTGCATTAGATGCGGCAGTTGCACCTCCCGCCCGCAAAGAATGAATGCCAAATCTAAAGCATCATCACCATGCACTGCCCGAGACGTTTGACAATCGTCTCCTTCGCTCTGGTGTAACATAACGGCACACAAACTCAATCGAGTCTAGAAATAACGACTGTATTACCCTGTTTGCACTGCTCAGCTTTAACTGAGAAAATAAAAAATGACTTGTGGTTTTCGTAAATAACATAGCAAAATAAAAACTCTTCAAATTAACAAAACTGTACCGTGACATAATGAGTATTTCATACAAAGCGACTTCAAAATATTTCTGCAGATACAGAGGCTTCTCTGAATTCAACAACAAATATGCTGGGATAGACTATCAGTGAAAAGATGGATGGTTGGATAACTACCGTCCCTCAACACCAAGGGGACGGTGGATAACCGTAACCAGCTGTAATAGGTAATTGTGTAAACATGACTGTTGGAGACTAAGCAAACATTCAAACAAATAAGAAAAAAAAATACAAAAGTGACCCTTCCTTGCCGATAATAGTGTTTCCATTATTGATATACGCGAAGTTCTTGATTGTTACCGTAGTATTTTCGCTGCCCGATTCCCAAAGTAATACTTCGTCAGCCTAATAGGACGTCGTCCAGGCTCAGACCTGAAACAAAAAAACACTCTGTTAATAACTCTTACATCATGGCTTCTCATGCCAAAACGTTTAAACAAAACAAATGTGTAACGCCACCAGATAGAAATTGAAAGTTTCATTAAATACACCATTGTGGCATACAAGTATTAATCTTACCATTCGTTCCACTTTAATTGCATATATATTGTCAGCCGGGCATATCACTGTCCGAAAGAGGCCGACTGCCACATGGGAATGAATAATGTGCCACGAGCTTGGTCTCATCTCAACTTCGCACATACCTTGTTCATTAATTTTGTAAAGCCATTTTTGAGTGCTTGTTTCCCATCCCAACTTTGGGAAAGAACATCAATTGTCTCAGTATTGGGACATTTTCAGCTAGGATTGAACCTCGCATAATGTACTAATGCTGTCAAAAGCATCCTTACCCCCTGAAATGTAGATCTCGGAGCATCCAGCTTCTGGGCAGCATCACTACTGATGCTCCAGTCGTAATTTACTGTTGCTGTCAAACGCGACCCCATTCACTGAAATGTAGATCTCACATAGCTTTAAGCTTCTGGAAAAGCATACATATGGATGATCTTGTCGTCGTTGACTGTTGCTGTCAAAATCAACCCCATCCACTGAAATGTAGAACTCAGAGGATCAAGCTCCTGGACAGCATCACTACTGATACTCCAGTCGCAATTTACTGTTGCTGTCAAAAAAGCAAACATATCCACTGAAATGTGGATCCCACAGGGCATCAAGCTCCTGGAAGGCATCAAAACTGAATACTACAATCGTTGTAAACAACATGTTTACTAAGCCCATCGGCTAGAACATTCTGCCCCAGGGGCGCACACCTTGGGCATACCAGCGTATATGCTATCACATAAATCAAATTGCATAACACTATATCCCGTAACTCAAGCACTCCACTTTCGACTCTCGCAATCTTCGCCACGATCTAGTCATTTGTGCACAATTGCACGTTTAAGCCTTCAAAACTTTCACTGTTTCATAATAACATACGGTGAACTGCAACGAGTTCCTTCCAGGTTGAACTTCCAACGTGTCCTTATAGAGACCACTTACCTTCTTGGCCAATATACCTTCCATAGCCAATTGAGGACGTGCCAGTATAAAAACACACACGGTGTATGAAAAAACACCTTCAAAGTATTTACTGTTACATACAATCCTCACTACTTCCTGGTTATCCGCATATCCACTGAAATATGGATCCCGCAGGGCATCAAAGCTCCTGGAAAGCATCATTACTGGTACTCCTTCTGTAATTTACTGTTGCTGTCAAAAAGCAAACATATCCACTGAAATGTGGATCCCACAGGGCATCAAGCTCATTGAAAACATCAAAACCAAATACTACAATCGTTGTAAACAACATGTTTACTAAGCCCATTGGCTAGAGCATTCTGCCCCAGAGGCGCACACCTTGCATAGCAGCGTATATGCTATCGCATAAATCAAATTGCATAACGCTATATCCTGTAACTCAGGTACTCTACTTTAGACTCTCGCCATCTTCGCCACGATCTAGTTATTTGTGCACAATTGCACGTTTAAGCCTTCAAAACTTGACTGTTTCATAATAATATACGGTGAACTGCAACGAGTTCCTTCTAGGTTGAACTTCCAACGTGTCCTTATAGAGACCACTTACCTTCTTGATCAATACATCTGCCATAGCCAATTGAGGACGTGTCAGTATAAAAAACACACACGGTGTATGACCTAAGTATTTACTGTTACATGCAATCCTCACCACTGGTTATCCGCTCAAATCTTTCCTAATAACAAACAGTGAGCTTCAACGAGTGCTCGCCAGGTTGAACTTTCAACAATGCTATACAGAACACTTATCACATACACTTTTACCTTCTTGTTTAACATTATAAACCACCATGGCCGTCATGTACGGAAGCATGGCGTAGTCCCATTCATGCGCATTAAATTCCTAACTCGCTTATCTAACATGATGAAAACAGGCACAAATATACCTATTGTGGAATTACAGTGTTTTACTGATTCCTTCAAACATGCACGGTTTGAAATAGCTCTAGATTTGAATAAATCGTTACCAGCTTTAATTTCATCGATACGTTGATGCAAGCTCACCAAAAACCAAGTCACACACACGCAACTGACCAACAACTTACCTTCGCTTTGGTATTTTTGTGAAGAAACATGGCGCGATGGAAATGCCAATTTCCAAAGTAAAACGCCTTGGATACACAATACCTACGACCGTAACTAGAATCTTGGGAGAATCCAAAATAGCCCTGATTTTTCCACACGAACGAACAATTGTCAAGCGAGAGACGCGTCTTAACAACGAACGTTGAATTTGAACAAGAACAAAAAAAAAATAACGTTTCTACAATCTAACACCAGTCAACGTTTACCTGCCTTATTATATCGACAATCAACGAACAACGTGGGAGAATACATATTTCTTCAGTACTCCAAGATCGAATTATCAATTCCGATTGACGCAAATACATACCGTGGAGAAGTAGCCATAACCGGCATACACGTCCAACAGTTTAGACCAAGTGGTTGTCACTTTACAAACAAATTACCAAACTCTAAACCTGCTCACAAGAGTCCCTGGCAAAGGGACGCAAATCTCAAAATAGTAAGTCAGCCAAATAGAGTGACTGTAACACCACTCACATCGTACAACTCCATGCATACAGGATTTTTTTTTTTTTTTTTTTTTTTTGCCGCGACAATTGACTCCCCATAAATTAGGGATGCTACCTCACAAAAAACGAACAATCAGATCAGCATAAGTGTTTAAATAGTTACAATAAAGAGTTACTTAACTTAATGTTCGACAT